AATATCGTATTTTTCGCTCCGTAAGACGCACCTGACCATAAGACGCGCGCCTAGGTTTTTATAGAGGAGAAAAACAAGAAAAAAAATATTCTGAACCAATGGACTGCAGACACAGTAACAGAGGATGACCAGAGACTGCGGACACAGTACAGGAGATGAACAGAGACTGCGGACACGGTACAGGAGATGACCAGAGACTGCGGACACAGTACAGGAGATGGGCCAGAGACTGCGGACATAGTACAGGAGATGACCAGAGACTGCGGACATAGTACAGGAGATGACCAGAGACTGCGGACACAGTACAGGAGATGAACCAGAGACTGCGGACACAGTACAGGAGATGACCAGAGACTGCAGGACACAGTACAGGAGATGACCAGAGACCCTGCGGACACAGTACAGGATGGTCCATAGACTGCGGGACACAGTACAGGGAATGACCAGATACTGTGGACACAGTACAGATGGCCATAGACTGCAGACAGTACAGGGGATGACCAGAGACTGCAGACAGTAAAGGAGGGGATGACCAGAGACTGCAGACAGTAAAGGAGATGACCAGAGACTGCAGACCTTTGGGGAGGGAGGGGGAGCGGGTACCTGAATTTGACAGGTACCCGCTCCCACTTCCGCGGAGTTGTCCTTCCTTCTTCCCACGGCGGCTTCTGTGACAGCCGGGTGCCCACTGCGCATGCGCGAGAAGCGCGGCGCTTTGTGAATGGCCCCGGAGCCTTCTGGGACCTGTCGTGTCCCAGAAGATGCCAAATCATTCACAAAGCACAGCGCTTCTTGCACATGCACAGTGGGCACCCGGCTGTCACAGAAGCCGCCGTGGGAAGACTGTACAGCGCTGGAGCGAGAAATAGGTAAGGTCCTGCAGGAGAGAAGAGCTGAGCGGCCGGCCCGATATTCTGACATGGTGGCGGCAGAAATACCTGACCGGCCGCTTTACATTCGCTCCATAAGACGCACTGACATTTTCCTCCCTTTTTTGGGGGAAAAAAGTGCGTCTTATGGAGCGAAAAAACACGGTACATTTTGGCCTAAATTTATGACGAAATTTGATTTTTAATTTTTTTTTTTATTGGATAGGTTTAATAGCAAAAAAGTAAAAAAAAAAATTTTTTTCAAAATATTCAGTTTTTATTTATAGCGCAAAAAAAAACTGAAAAACGCACAGGTGATCAAATACCACCAAAAGAAAGCTCAATTTATGGGAAAAAAAGGACGTAAATTTATTTTGGGTACAGCATTGCATGACTGCGCAATTGTCAGTTAAAATAACGTAGCGCCGTATCGCAAAAACTGGCCTGGTCATGAAGGGGGGTAAATCCTCAGGAGGGCAAGTGGTTAAATAAAAGAGAAATAGTTATTTTGGTTTCAGAAATTCATGTATTTGACATAAGATTTTTAATCTCATAATGAAATATCTTTTTTTTTTTTTTTTTTTTTTAAATCTTTTAAATGTGTGTTTACTTACAGCTGCTGTATGTCGGTCAAATCTGCAAGCTTGTAGCGTTTTTCAATGCTGACCTGTTTAAATATTTATTTAGCCAGTACTTACGTATATTTGTATCTATTATGGGATTCGTGGGGATAAAAACAGCAGCCTCTGCGGGGGAATTCTTTAGGTCTTAGAAAATTTTCTCTGCTTGCTTCCCCAGTATGTATATGTAACCTGTAAAATAAAGAACGCGTGCTCTGGCTACCATATGGAAAAATCATTAAGCGAGGAGGAATGTTTTCACAGAAACACTACCTACTTCTATGTAATGCTGAGATGCCTTTTATAGCAACGTTTCTACCAAGGTCCTGCTGTGATAAACCATCTGTCTTGAAAAACTCACAACGGGATACCTGTTCCAACCTGGACCACTCTGATGTAAATACCCCATTGTGCTTGCCTTAAATTAAAAAATAAAAATGACGGAAAAGACCACTGCGGGAAGAAACGGCTCGGAGTTCCATATTAACTTGATTTTATTTTGTGTTCAATCTCTTTCCACTCTAGATATCCTTATAAACACGTCTTGGCTTTTTCACAAGATTTTGATTTTCATGTCATTTTTTTCCCAAGGCTTACTAAACTGTCAGTGATTATAAGTGTAATGAGGGAGTCAATTATCAAATTGAAAGATTGGCTGTGATAACATATTTCTGCTCCCTTGTTCACACTGGTGCACAGTATACGGGAAATAGGTCCTGGAATGACTAATGGGGTAACATGCAAGGACCTGGAGGTTTGATTGCTGTGCAAGCAGTGATAGAATCAGGGGTGGACTGACAACACATGGGGCCTCCAGGCAATAGGCGATCATGGGGCCCTGTGTCCTTGCTCAAACTCAAAAAAGCCTATGAAAAAGGTACCAGAGGCATCTCAAGGGGCCCCCTACTGACCCCGGGCCCTCGGGCAGTGTCCTGGTTTCCAAATAGTCAGTCCGACCCCTGGATAGAATACACGTCCGAGGCACTGGAGCTAATGCTATCATTGTGTTACTGATCATCATCTGCTGTAGAGAATATTATCCGCTTAAATCTCTCAGATTGTAAGCTCCAAGGATCAGGGCCCTCCTAACCCTCTTGTATTGAGCTGTATTGTTGCTGTATTGTCTCCCGTTATATTGTAAAGCGCTGAGCAAACTGTTGGCGTGATATAAATCCTGTATAATAATAATAATAATAATACCAGCACTGCAGTATCACTTGGTGAAGTGGCGAGTCCCATAAGTCCAGTACAAGCCGGTGCGGTGGCGAGCACAAGTATTGCCCCACAGCCACCAAGAATTCGTACACAGGCCCTTAGAGCCCCTAGTATCCTTTCAGATGTGCTTGCAAATCCCGATTGGCAGCCCACAAATTCTGCAGCACCCGTACTTCCCCCATTCACTGCCCAACCTGGAATTCAGGTGGAAACAGCAAATTTAACTACTCCCCTTGATTTTTTGGAGCTGTTTTTCACGGAAGATCTGTATGCATTGATTGTGGATCAAAGCATTTTATATGCACAACAATGTATCACCGCTAACCCAAATTCAAACCTTGCCAGACCATTCACATGGAAACTCATTACGGTTTTCAAATTTATATTTTTTTTGGGCCTAACCCTCAACATGGGCATTACTAAAAAAAATGAATTGCGGTTGTATTGGTCCACAGACCCGATTGATCATATGCCGTGTTCTCTGCTGCTATGGCCAGGCATAGATATGAGAGTATAATGTGTTTTATGCATTTCAATGACAATACACTCTGTCATCCTCGGGGTGACCCTGAATTTGACTGGCTCCACAAAATTCAGCCCCTTGTAAATCACCTTAACCAAAAATTTGGAGATGTCTATACTCCCCAGCAAAACATCTGCATTGATGAATTCCTCATTAATTTTTCTGGCCGCCTTGCATTTAAATAATTTCTCCCCAGCAAGTGTGCCAGATATGGGGTCAAGATGTAGAAGACCTGTGAGAGGACAACAGGCTATACTTATACGTTTCGGATTTACAAGGGAAAAGATAGTCAAGTGGAGCCCCCCGGATGCCCAGACTACATGGGGAGTAGTGGCAAGATAGTTTGGGACTTGGTGTCATCCTTTTTTCATATGGGGTACTACTTATATGTGGACAATTTTTATTCAGGCGTGTCACTATTTAGACATTTGTACAATCTTGGAACTGGCACTTGTGGCAAAGTGTGACCTAATGTGTGCCCACCATTAGAAGTGGGTGGATGCAGGGCAGTATATTTTAATGGTGGGTATACCACACATTTTTTTTTTGGGAGAGATTTCTTCTCTTTTTTTCGTTCAGTCAACAGGCTGCATACAAAAAAAAAAAGAACATAGCATATATACCCAACAAGGACCAGCGACGTACTGGTACATCACTGGAATTTGAATGGTTATACCAGGATGATGTCTACAGCTGCAGGCATCATCCTGGTATCATTTTTTTCAGCCGGTAATCAGCTTTCATGTAAAAGCAATCCTAGTGGCTAATTAGCTGCAGGATTGCTTTTACAAGCAGCGGGAGACAATGCCCCCCCCCTCCCTCGCTGCCTTCCACGGCCTTCTTGTGCAGTCCCGTGCCATCGGGGGAACCTGAGAATGCAGCCATTGTTTCTGCCAGCTGACCATAGAGCTGATTGGAGACCAGAATGGTGCCAATCATCTCTATATTCCCCTATTTTATTTCTCCCGCTGTATCTGTCATTTGTCACTAACCATATCTAGACTTTTTTACATGTGTGGTCCTCTCCTACGCCGTTTTTGTTTTTTTTATTTATATCTATGAATATAAAATACTTTTCTAGAGTTTTTAAACTAAGTCATCTAAATCATTATCTTGGAGATGTTGGCTGTCATGAGGCCTATTAGGAGCAAACACAAATAGTATACAGTAAATGTAATTTAACATCACCATTTAATATTTTGCACAGCATTAAACCTGTTAAGATTTCAGCATGAGCACATCATATTTAGATTTATTGGAGGTTCTACTTATAAATGTCAAATCTGAAATAACACACGGATTGTGTACCGATGACGTAAGTCTTTTTTGTCACAATCACGTATTTTACCTAAAGATTACAGTGAGATTAACCTCATCCCCTCACTTCTCCTGCTGCTTCTCCTTACATGAATCATTAATGAGATGTAATCTGAGTGATAATCCATTGGCCACCCAAGGTTTCTGAACCATTACACATCACCTCCTAATCCTTTCCAGCTAGAAATATTGTGTTAGCTGTAAAATGTTGCTGTAATAGTCTTAACTTTTGTGGCTGCTAAAAGCTCTGTGTTTATAGATGCTGTTTTGTGAGAAGCTGCGGAAATTGAGAAGTGATTTGCCATTAGGTGCCTTCTTTGAAGTTGATATATATGTGACACGGTGGTATTGATTGGCTGTGTGGCAGAGATTTATAGTTCAGAGCTAAACACACAGAGGTCAACTGGAGACTGAGTAAGCTTGTTGCCGAGAATTTATGAGATACTACAACAGAGGTTAATCAAGAGGAGATCCTGCTTTTTAATTGTGTATGTATGATTTCATCTTAATGCAGGTCACCTTTCCAGGAACATTCAGAGAAATAAAACTTTAAGCCACTTGTTAAGCTCGAAGACATAGAAAAATACTAACGAGCTTAGCTCATAAGGCAATGCGAAGAGCCATGACTGCCATGTACCTTTGAAACCAACAATCATCCATTATGTGAGATGAAATCTAAAATCCTAAAATGGATATTAAATGGAACAGCATAGATTGCCAGACTTAGCACAGTAGTATGAGCATAGTTGTTTTATTAAAATACAGTTGGCAACTCCCTTTTAGCTGTAAGAACAAAGCATGTCTCCATGCTTTAAATCACTGCTCTCCATTGGTCCACAAGGTGGATGGTCAGGATGCTGCTGTGGACACAGCAGGATCAGATGCTGCTGTAGGATTAGCCAGGTAATGCTGAGAACCAGACTGGAACACACAGGGGCATTGGGCTGGAAGTGATGTCACCAATGGCAGAACAGGAAGCAGAGGAGCATGGATATGGGTTTCAAAGCCCTGTGGCTTCTTCCTAAAACCATC